ATGTAACATAATGCTAAAAGCGTCTTTGAAATAGATCATTTCATTATTCAATATCGTTAGATATTATATGTTTGTTTCAAAATTTGCGTACAAAGGGTTATCGGCGCTAAGCTAGAATGAAGGAAGCTAGTCAATAGTATCCACCGCCAACTCTTGGGTTTCTATTATTTAACCGAATAGTAGAATATGATGGCACACAAAATGCGAATTGAGTTATTACGGCAACGGAACGCGAACCATAAATCTTCGTTTTCACAGACTGGACACCCTAACCACTTGGACAAGTTCGCCCCGTTTGGTTGGTGAACTCTGTTAATATTACTTTAGGGAATATGTAATCTGGTTAGTGAACTTTGTCAATATTAATATAGGGAATATGTAATCTGGTTGGTGAACTCTGTCTATATTACTATAGGGAATATGTAATCTGGTTAGTGAACTCTGAGTCATTTGTTGGTTGTGTAGGAACATATAGCGTGTGACGTACAATGACTGGTGTAATATTAAGAGTAAGAACAGTTCAACGATTTGTGTTTCTGTTCGTAAGTGAATGTGAGCTGTTACAGTGTAAATGTTGTACCTGTATTTGCAAACACAAATGCATGATGAATATGTCTAACGTGTGTTCTGGCAGACCCGTGTGCCTAAGGATGATACTGTTTGTCGTATCTTTAGTAACTACATTATAACATTACACCAGTTGTGAATAATTTAAAACACACCCGCGATTATTTTTTGGAAAATGAAAGAAAATTACTCATCATTCTTGTTTCGATTAAGCTAATGACCCAAGAAATACGGATGGGATACATGTCTCATCAGCTTTTTTAACCACATTTTTCTAAGTTATCTATGTATCAAACTGTTCATGACTTTGTTGGTTACACGAACCCTAATAACATATGAGTCAAATGAAATATGTAAACAAAAATACCATCAACATTACATTTAATTCCACTAATTACATCTGGGGACCTCTAGGTATTTTACATAGAAAATGATGATTACACTCTATTTTTTGTCAGGTCTTTACACTGAGTGTTTTAGTAGACAAAAACATATATTTACTCTGTATGATGCAATATGTGGGCCCCACTGGTAGTGAATGGTTATGAAAATAAGGGTTTAATTTGAAGGTTAATAGTTTATTTAGCTAACATAGGCTATATACGGGAGTGATCAGCTAATGTAACAAATCAATTAAGAAAAATTAGTGTTAGATAAAGCTTAGCATGTGATAAACCTGATTATTCTATAAAGTGTTACAACTCAATAAAAGCTGTTAATTTTCAGTATGTAACAACGTCACAAATAACTTTAATTTTCAAATATTTTGTGCATGATTGTTAAATACATTTTTATCAACTTAAATTAACATATTTTAATGAGGTCTTTTAATATCAGTGAAGTAGAAAGTTTCCGACAATCATAGTAGACTGTAACTTGATTAACAGTAAGTGTTCTGAATTTTTGTAAGTTCAAGGACAAATTAAACATGATTGATAAGATGACCATCACTCGTCATGGTGTGTCAAGGGAAAAGGCTCTAACTCAAATACTTTACTTAATTTTTATACGATTAAAAACACTGAATAAATTATATATGAAATACAATTATTATTAAAGTAATATTCTGGCAATATAACTTATTTAAAATACTGTTGTGTGTCACACGTTATTGTATCCTCTGACGACAACGGACAAAAAATTAGAATGACACAAACCGTCTTTTATTAACTTTTAACATCACAACTCACGAGATTTCAACAGTCAATCAATGCACTTAGGTTTTCTGCCACATTAACTATTGAAATTCAAAAACAGAGATTAAAGATTTTCAGCTCCATTCTTTGAGCCACGAGTAAATTACGAGCGCTAGCATAAGAAACATAAATGAGATGTCAACCTAATTCTTTTGCTCTTCTGATGTCTCGTTATTCACCCCTTTACTTCATAAGTATTTCCTTTATAAGACATAGACCAAAGTTTGGGAACTTATATTTTGTAGCTGTGGTAAAGCTACTAACGCTCTCTACCGTTTTCCCTAATTTTGAATTACGTAGTCGAGGGAAGACAGTAACTTAGCAATATCCTACCACGATAAGAGGTTGACTGTCACTCTCATAACGCACCAATTATCTAAAATACGGAGAATATTTTGTGGTTTTGCTCGGATATAAACTCGGCTCGTCCGTTCCGAAATCGAAAGTTCTACCACAGGGTAAACTCGGGACTCCCAGTGTTTGGGAATCTGTTCTTGTGTGATCCAATTGATTTGATCTGGTATTAAAAAAAAACACCTGATATTTACACTATATCTTTGAAGCTTTATTTATCATTTCAATATTACCTAAAGTTATATGGTTTAAAAAGAAAAGTCAACTCACAGTAATGAGTGGCTTAACAGAATCAAGGCAGATATAAACATATACATCCAAGCAACCTTATGTTGGACCAAAAGTTTTTAACTCATTAATTTCCATTTTTAACTCAGTACTTTCCTTTTTTGCGTTACATGTTTTTTTTCCTTTTTACTTTGAAGATAATCGAAATCCTTTTTTTTTCTTTGTTTGGACATAGACTACGTCAGGATGAATCTGAACGATGAGAAAACCCTATGAGTCAGGCTGCTTCCGAAGAAAAGGAACACAAATTTCCAACACCATATCTAGCATGTCTTAATTGATCTGACACAAGACAGATTAGTAGCAGGAGTTATACGTCATACCAACTAACTTAAAACAACAATTACAATATGAAGAACATACACAAATTTTAAAAAACTTGTCAGAAAATTTGTTATAAGAATAACGTCTTTAACACTCTTGTATCTACTTTATTGTTACGTGAATGTTATACTTGACTTACAAAAACTGCTATAACACTCTATGGATATCAAAATGTTATACTCGTTCTTGAAACCTTTTTCAATACCTTTATTGTTATTGGCATATTATATCTACTCTAATAAATTTTGTTGTCACTTTAAGACAGGCACGTGTTTGTAAGGGTAGCCACTCTTAAGTATTGGTTCGAGTAAAAACCGATTTAAAAATATTTAAGTTATAAAGAACGTGTAGAGTATTATGAGTAATACCGGTATGAACTCAAGTGATAGACCTAAGAAGGATCAAGATATGTATGGAAAGACTCACTGGCTTGCGGAACCAATAAAAGTATGAGAACAGTACCTGTCTATTAAGATTAGGAAATTAGCAATACATTTATAGAAGCTTTTTAAACATCAGAACCTGAAGTGTCTGAAAACATTTAAAGCTTAAAGAGGGAGTGGGGATCCAATCAGAAGGAAGAGAAATATCAAATAAATCTGTGAAAACGTGGATCTAAAGCATGAGTGAAAAATATTATCTGACATATTGATTGATAACATAGATCCAACTTGCGCGTGAATACAGAGATCTAAACGGTATACGCAAATGTAGTATCATTTTATGTGTGAATTAGAAAGCGATCAGTTATATTTGAAAGTAGCTAAAATATTTTGGAGGAAAATTCTCACAGAGATCACTTTTATACAATTAAATTGAAAAGAAGAAAAAAGAGAGAAAACTTATATCACAAAGAAATGGTAAATTACAAATGCAGGTTTTTAATGTTCACAAAGTTTCTGGACGAGACGCCTTTCTTCTTGTGATTTTAAAAATACATTAAAATATCAACATATCATTTACCATTTGTTGGTGGTATAAGTTTTCCCCTTTTTTGATTTTGATTTAAATATATTTTATTTATAATATTGGATTTTCTGACAAATATTGAATGATTGTATAATAGAACCAGAAACCGTGTATAAATCCACGTTTAATTTTCTGATTAGAGTAAGGAGGCGAAGAGGGCGGATTAAAAGAAATGTACAAACACTTAATCATTATCAGGGGCAAAGGGTGAGGCTTCGATATTCTTGGGACCTGGTGTAACCTAGGGTGCTGAACTGTGTGTTTGAGGGCCCATGGTTTACGTCCTGTTGCCACAAAATTGTACCATGCACCTTGGGGTGTGGGTGCGTTTTAAGAGTTGTGGTCAAATTCCCCTATTCGATTAGAGTAGATAAAGAGTAATTAATGGGTGTTGTTGAGTAACTGCCTTCGTTTTAGTCTAGCAATTCAAAATTAGGGCTAGCACAGATTGACTAATTGTATAATAGAATCAGAAACCGTGCATAAGTCCACATCTAATTTTCTGATTAGAGTAAGGAGGCGGAGGGAGAGGGGAGATGAGTAAATATCCGACGAAAACAAACCTATACTACTTGGAATATTGGGGACTTAATGGGAACGGTAAAACGATATTTATGAGATGCATCTTGACCATTTTGCAGTTGTTGGCCCAAACATTATGATACAGAAACACACCACTAAAATACAAATCATACTAAATAGGAGATATGTTTGCGAAACACAACGCCTAAAATCTATTTGGAACATTGTCCACAATCCATTACAAGAATACATCCCCATGATTAAATGCAAGAAGCTGAATTGAGAAGTGTAACAAATGTACAGCTTCTCCTTATCTTGACTACGTGTCTATTTCTTTTTTATATGATTCCAACTAAAGACTCTTTATAGTAGCTGTTTTTTTATCATGTTATATAATTTCTTTTCATTGAAATTATACTGCTGAGTATTATAATAATCTCAGTCATAATGAATATCTTTTGAACATTTATATCAATAGTTGTGCAAAGTGTCGAATATTTTATTATGTCAAAGTTACAAATAACGAAAGGCCTGATACCGTGTTCGATTTCCAAAAACTAAAAGTAGTAACTTCAGTGTTTCAAACATTTTGGTTTATTTCTTTAGTTTATATATATTCATAAAAAATCTGTCCCCCACTATTTATACAATGTTTAATATATTTTATTATTTATTAGATTTAATTAAAAGAAAAGATAATAGTTTTATGAAAAGAAAAAATCCCAAACATATGGCTGCAATTTCAAGCTCTTACAGTTAATTTGGCGATTTTCCTCCCATCTGTTGGTCATGGATAAAACTATTCAACAGTTTAAGCCAAGCTCGTCCAGTCCTTATAAAACCAAAACCAAAACACTTCAATTGGTTTAAATTTTTTCTTTCTTCAAAGGAGTGAAAAATTCCTTATAACAATCAATATGTTTTAATGGAACTTCTTTTCCTAATTATGATTTATTAACATTCACGTAAAAATGTATATGTTCTATTTATTGAGAAATTTACGAGAACAATCCTATATTATGGTAATATGTCATTATTAAGAAAAGTGTCTACCATTATTGGTCACAACTGATGTCACATTCTTCGCATTACGTTCCGTTTGCCCATTTCTTCGACTGGAATTCCCAAAAGATGGCGCAAGTTTACTGGAAGAGCTGTCTTTCGTGTTGGGATACGCAAAACTGCGACCACTGTTCCCTCGTGCAGGAGTGGGTAACCTTGAAAATTTTTTAGAATATGACAAAAAGAGTTGATATATACTTTACTCTCATATGGTTATTATCTTTCAAACTAACGATACGTGAAGACAACATATCATTAGTTATACTATCAATACATTAAAAGCAAGCGCCATTAGTTGACAACTTTAGGCAATGGTTTGATATAAAACAATTTATTTATTAATGGAACTTTTTATGTCACTTATATATAAACGTTTGTGTGCTTTAATGAAACGCCTTTTTAAGTATTTGCAATATGATGAAATTATAATTACTTAAAACGTAAACTAACAAATGAGCCAGAATAAACTTACTTCTTTCTAGTTCTATACAAAGATGTATTTTGTATTTCTATACAACCATTACTCAAGAAGGTTCTTTTTCTATTTTTAGTATTTTCATCTACCTTATATTCGTCTATGTTTTGAGAAATATAATTCCATCAGGTCTGATTGACATTTCCTCTATGTTCATAAGAGAACTGGCAACGAACTGCATGATTTTTAACGGAATTGCACGGGATCTAAACCCGGCGTCGAACATGTTAATTTTTTCAGTTGTGATAGTTACAATGCGACGATTAATTCCACTATTCGTTGGTAAAGAGTAGCCCAAAGTTTGGCTTCGGGTACTACGAGCCAGTTGCCTTTTCTGTGGTCGACAGGTAACCTTAGTAGCCTTGTCATAAAACAAACAATAATCTAGTTGCGAACGTAAAATTTAATTTAGCCTTCTGACTTTTCGCAGATTTGATATTCAGCATTATGACCTTGAAGAAAGCTGTAACTGCCAACATAAATCAGGACTAAAATCACTCCAGTAATGAATATGCTAATTTAATATATTGTTGTTACATACAACGGATAGAATGCATTGATTCATCAGTTGGATACTCTTTCTTTCAGCGTTTTTTGTTTTGCCGTAAATCTAATAACATCTCACGAGCTTCGGGCGGCTTAAAAGACTTAGGTTATTCCTACATTCATATGCTAAATTAAAAATGCTAAATAATCCCATAATAAAAATATAATGAAAAGAGTAACGTGCTTATGTGCATGCTGGGGAAGCTTTTTGAACTTCATTAATCTATGCAAAAATGAAATTTCGAGTAGGGAAGTACTAGTCGTATGTTTAAAAGCAAAGCCACATCTGTTGTGCCTATAATGAGGAATTGAACTCCGAATCTTAGCATTGTAAGTTCATAATCTCACCGCTAACCTATCTGGGGACAGGGAAGTACAGACGACATCATCTTATGCGTAAGGAAGGGGTCGGTATAGATAATACTATACATTGCCAAGGGAAAGCTTTTTGGGTGATGGATTTGTCATCTCTTAGATCAGTGCTTCTTAACCTTTTCCAATGCCATTCACCCCTATAAGATTTTCACAGCAGCTCACTCACCCCCAGTTAAAAAAGACAAAAAAAGTACTAAATTAAAATGCAATTTTTTTATTATGACTTAAATTTACATTAAACTACAACTAGAATGAATACAACTTGAACAAAAAACATGTATTTATCAAACTACTACTAAAATAAATAATAATAATTTGGTTTTGCTCTTGAATTTGTTTTATAATTGATAATACTCATTCACCTTGAAATTCATCCCATCATTCTCATTTACCCTGATTCTGATCTAATTAACCCCCGGGTGAACCATTCATTCAGTTGAGAAGCACTGCCTTAGAGTCCCATATCAGAGTTTATGAGTTAAGGTTTTATGTGTGAATTTCTTCATTTGTTTACAACACTTAAAGTATTGTTACCGTCACACTGTTGAGTTGTAGTATTTTCCTGAAATTCCAGTTTTCAAAGCTTCACTATCTCTGGTATCTAGTACTAGATAAGTCGATCGGTTTGAAATTTTTAATCAGACTATTCAGCTCAAAGTGTCTTTTGTACGTAAAGGTAGTTGGTAGGTATCACGTGTTGTGGAATAGGTTTAACCTTGTAGTTATGGAGACACCTTGCATGGCCAACAGATTTCAAAACTCTACGTACTCGAACACGTACGTGAGTATTCTAGGCAGGCCACTTAACTGTTTTAATTACTTTAAATAAATGACACTGCATTTACATTTTGTAAACTCTATGCATTCAAAAACAAAATACCACAAGTAAAAAAAATGTTTCGTACGCGAAACACGAGTGTTTTACCCAAGTATAATATAATAGAGTTAGTATATTCATTAAATATTTATCTATTACTGTTAAAGAAACTAATATTGAAGGAAGAACGTGACAGAATATACTGACGAAAGCTAGTTGCTTGCTTAATGCACTTCTATAAGTTCTCTATCTTTATAAGAGTGACACCTGTTAGCAGGCTTTAAATCTACATATTTGTTCTATTACGAAGCTGAATTGTACCTTTATCACATTTAAAATAGATAACTTTTTAACGTATTATGAAACTTTTTTCCACATTTATGACCCCAAGAAAAGCTCTCAAACGCTCCGTGATCTTTAACACGTTTTACAACTAACTAGTTAACATTTTATTTTATTACCTTCCAGCCTGAAGAAAGAGGACAGCCCAGTCTGTCATCTTTAAAAAACGTAATAAATCATCGTGAGTTCAATGCTTTCTGAATGTATGTAACATTACACGCACAATAGTAGTAAGGAGTATTTTACGTTTACGGATGAAATCACGGTAAGATCTTTATATCTTAAAATAAATTATTACTACTGCGAAGCTAAATATTTTAAAATTGTTAACATAGAAGCCCTTGTTTTGTAATAATAAGTAATTAGTTATATTACTCATACTCATGTATTAGAATTATCACCTGGAAAGCATATCACTTCCGATAGATGACGCCACCAACGGCCTCCCCTGGGTGCTGCCAGTGTTTGAAATTTGATTAGAGGCGGAGTACGCCAACTTCTGTGCTTGTTTATATCGGGATAAGTTAAAGAATAAACCCAGAATCGATTTCAAGTTTCCATCTCGGATCTCTGAAATTGAGAAAAATAAATCAAGCTCAATAAGTTTACTTCCAACTTAGAAGTCTAGCCGAATATTGACAAAAAAAAAGTGAAAACATGGCTAATAACCTTGGATTGCAACGTCCCACTTGTTAATATGAAAGAAACACACGTGTTTTATAAAACTTTTCAAGACAGAAGAACTGTGTAATGACCTTACAATTGCTGTGAACCAAATAAATGTCTAATCCAGCTTATATCTATATATATATATATTTCTCTCTCTCTAAATCTAATTAATGCAAATGTACTTTGCTATGTTGGTAAAAGAGCTTCTTCTTTTAAAAATGTTTGTTCCGACTTCGTGAATGGTTCATAGTTACGTAGTTTTTCTTTAACTACGTGAGTAAATTCCATTTTATTAAAGGACAGTCGATCCGAACACACTGTCCTCGTTTTATATTTTTGCTTATATATGTATATGTTTATGTACTTGGTTTTTTATAAAGTTTTGTGTGTCACAGTTAGATTTAGAAGAGATTAAACAGGCCTTGATCTTTCTGGCAAGCAGCCAAGACTAAAGCGATTAGGCCAATATTTATATAAGACAAAGTGCGTGATGAACTTCATTTTAGTAAAAACTGCCGTCAGTTGCCGTTTTTTTTTTTTAGTGTATTATGGACACGGCACGAAAAACAGTCTTTGTAAATTTGCTTTAAATATATTCTAACAAACCAAGGAGGTTAGAGATTGTAAAGACCAAAAATAAAATAACAGGAGTATATATAATCGAATACAACAATCAGTTCGTAATCACGTGTACCACTAGCGGTAACAAAGAAAAACAAACAGCTACGTTTAATAATAAATTGACTATAATTAAACGTCTGCCATCTATTAGCAAATATTAGAAAAGTTACTAATTAAAATATCTGACAATATACGTATACACTTCTAAAAAAATATTTAAATTTTTTTCTAATTTGTTGTTGAGCGCAAAACTTCAAAATGGACCATCTGTACTCTGCCTACCGCAGGTATCGAAACCCGATTTTTAACGTTATAAGCCCTATACTTATCGCTGAGTCACCGGGGGTGGTGCAGATTTTTTAAAAGAACTATTTCCATTTCGATAAACGTTGTTTTAATTTCTAATTCTAAATTAATAAATATTTAGAGTATATGAAATTAAGCCTCACCTTTGGCTGTCACCTCTTCCACATTTACTCCTAGATTTTCTAGGAACGTAAGACAGACATTTAGATTATCCACCTGCAAGCAAGGATTGTTTATCAATTACCTCTAGTACCAAAACAGGATAATTCGATCTATGAAATACCATTATTACAACATAAGCTTCAAGCATAACATCTCTCTATCTATATATATATATATATACGACTTATGACTTAAGATAAAACTATAAATATATTTTCGAAATCTTTGAAATGGTTTTGAGGTGTTTTGTGTTTGTACACAATACGAAACTCATTCTCTAGAGTTTGGTAGTTGAATAATTTTCTTTGAACGTGAAATAGGTTAAAACGCAGTTACTTCAGAGTTAACGTTTCCACTACAGGTACTAATGCGTGAAGGTTTATAAAACGTAGTTGTCAAGACGAATAATAGATTTATCAGTTCTGCGAAAAACAAGTCTATATGCGTGGTTTGTTTGTTGCTAAGCGCAAAGCTGCACAAGTGGTTATCTGCATAGTTTCTACTACAGGGATTGAGTTCCGAATTTCAGTGTTATAAGAAACATTACCATGTAACAACCAGTATTCTTTTCACTGTAAGATCGAAATCAAATTGCCACATTTTATCTCAAAACAAAGGTAGACACAATGAAAAGAAAGGTTTATGGTCTAATATTTCTAACAAAATAACCAGTAAAAATATATATATAATATTTATTATTAGTTTAATTCTCTATAAGTCGAGTGCATCAGTATACCCCGTATCACTCATTTTCGCCGTTAATGATTCTAGTTTATTTGCCTTTTTTTTATTGCTTTCGATACCTCGAAGTGGAATCAGGAAAGCTAATTCAGAAGGTTGTCTTTCACAAGACGGAGTACTTAAGGCGACTATACATTATTTCCATGGGGATTAAAATATGATCAGAATTATGAACATTAAAACTATTTTAACGTCAGAGGGAAACATGGTGTCAGTTTATTGAGATAATCTAAGAATGAAAGCAACGCGACTTTTTTGTTTAGAAGCCTTAAGAGACTCTTTGTTTCATGTAGGGATGACATCTTTTGGATGAAGATAAGAGTCCAAAACATAGCTCTGGTCTCAGTTTAGCTGTATAAGCTCAAAACTGGTTTCTGGGGAAGAACTTGAATTATTATCCAAACGGTAACTTTAATTGAGAATGTTTGAGACCCCGAGATTCGGTTATGAAGAATAACTTACAGAAATTATTAAACAAACTTGGCTGAAGATTCTTGAGACCCAAAGCTGGGTTTTGAGGATGTACTTGCAGGAATTACTTTTAAAAATTGCCTGATCATGCTAGAGACCAGTCTTAAAAGTCAAGAGAGAAACAGGGTAAGAAAAGCTTGTCTGGTATTAGTATGACGTGGGAAAGATGTCTTCAGTACTTGCATAAAGGTTAAGTGGCAAAGAAAGAGAGTGCTGACTACGAGTGAAGAAACTAATTCAAAGATCAAATATTCGTTGAAAAGGGGATTGAAAGTTTAGTGAAGTTTAAGAAGATTCATTACTAGAAGAGTGGCTACAAACTTTGAAGAGTATAAAATACGCTCTAACATTGAACCAACGTTAATTAGTCAGGATATTATATTAAGTACCGAAGTAGCTTTACACTAATATATTGATCACACCAGGCTCATTTCGAAATATCAAAAAGTGAAAAATAATATTACGCGGAATAAAATTGATATGAAAATATACTGAAAGTTTTGGAATAAAAAAAGGTTTCATATGTTATTATGAACCCCCTTCCCCAATGGCACAGCGGTATGTCTGCGGACTTACAACGCTAGGAACCGGGTTTCGATACCCGTGGTGGGCAGAGCACAGATAGCCCATTGTGTAGCTTTGTGCTTAATTTCAAACAAACAAACAATTATTATGAAAATTGATATTTCTTATAGATTTCAGACACTCAATAAATTTCAATAACCTAAAAAATTGAACTGTTTGTGGAAACAGTTTGCTAGTCATGTTTTAATGAATCATGGATTGCTAGTCATGTTTTATTGAATCATGAATTGCTAGTCATGTTTAATGAATCATAGATTGCTAGTCATGTTTTAATGAATCGTGGATTGCTACTCATGTTTTAATGAATCATGGATTCTAGTCATGTTTTAATGAATCAGATTGCTAGTCATGTTTTAATGAATCATAGATTGCTAGTCATGTTTTAATGAATCATGGATTGCTAGTCATGTTTTAATGAATCATGGATTGCTAGTCATGTTAAATGAATCATGGATTGCTAGTCATGTTTTAATGAATCGTGGATTGCTACTCATGTTTTAATGAATCATGGATTGCTGGTCATGTTTTAATAAATCATGGATATTTTCACTCTTGTTTTTTGAAGAATAAACATTGTAACTCGTCCTTCAGAATGGCAATTCTCAAACGTCTTATGTTATTTGAGCTTTATTAAGAAAAACTATTGAAAAAGTAGAAAATGACGTGCAAACATGTACCCAACGTGAGTACAGAGAAACCACGTGTTGTTGGCCACGTATCAATATCCCAGAAGCTTCTCGTCACCTCGCCATGAAGGAGCTTCTTAGCGTGTGTTTACGATGAAAGACATTTTGATTTTAGCAAAGTTGATAAAATAAGTTATATTTCTCAAGACCTGGTTAAAAAAAAATAGACATTTGCCATTGAAAGAGATGACTTTGTTAATAACGTGCTTTTTCCTTAAGTTGCATGCGGTAGTAATAATTTCGAGTTCACTGATTGACTCTTGATCTGTGTTAATAATAATGAATGAATAAGTACCGCAGAAGGCTTCTTCAGATGATGTACAAATAATATGTCATAAATATAATTTCAACGTCTTTTTGATGTATCTTACGCTTATCTTTTTGCATATGTTAACTTAGAAAAACTTGTCATAGTGAACTGATAGTACAAGAAGTATAATCGTGGTATCTCAATAACACTTATTGTGGTCCGATGTCAATGTCAAGTATGTTTACTATAGGATCAATAAAAGCTATAGAGTTTATGCTCGGATAAGACCACGTGATTCCAACAAAATCTATCGAAATCCACTCTGAAATATATTTCATTATATAATATAGAGGTTCTAATAAAACTGCCCATTTTTTAGGACGGTCGGCATTGACATTATTTCCACCAAATTAAGCAAATCAAATCTTTAATTCACGTATGTTTTGAACAATTTTGGAATGTGAAAGACAAAATGTGGTTGTAAATGTTTTTATGCCTTGTGTCTCATTTTCTAACGTGGTTGTACTTTCTACTTAAAATTAAAGAAAATTTGTCTCTGTAGAATAAACAAATTCTAATACTTCCTACATAACACTAGATGAGTTTATAAAACTTTATTGCTTATTATGGACTATCATACACAAATGTGTTCTTAACACTTAGGTCTACTTCTAGTTACAAATAGAAAACAATTGAAAAACTAATCGTTTTTCACAACCGTACTACTAATGTATAGTTAATACTATACATTAATGTTAATATACTAATACTATATAATTAATGTTAACTACATTCGTTTTCGACAATGAGTAAATAAGAATATTTGAATGCTCTAATTTGTTCACAATATTATAGAAATATTAGTATTGAAACCTTACCTTTTTTTTATAACAAATGTCACAAAAAATATAAAATCTAAATCTGAATCACACTAATGAAGAGAAGAGTGTTTTTGTTTTAGAATAATGTGTGATATTCTAAATAAAGCTTTTCCTGTCTGTTTAAGTTTAAGTTTAGAAATTCAAAGCTATAAATGAAATCTACCCACTGTAAGGTTATATAAGATGTTCCTGCCACATCATGGGTTCGTCGGTTTCTAGAGTCCAAAACATTAACCATTATTAGGACGTGAAAATGTTTAGGAAACATCAAAGGCAAATAAATAAGTGAATGAAAAAAAACAAGTATTTATTCCCACATACACACACAGATTTCTTTGTAATCAAGGACGCGAGAACTAGGGGTGCTGGGAATGTAGCAACAAACTCTGGTTTGAAGTACGAAGGTTTTGTGCACTAGTTGATGGCGTTAAATAAAAGAATAAAGTAATGATTTACTTTTCGGTTTATTTTCAACGTTTTATTTTAAAACCTATTGTAAACATGGGAGCAAGGTTTGTGGTTAAAATAATTGTTTTATACAAACATATAAACAAGTGTTGAAGCTGATTTGGTTTTATTAGCATGTTTTAACGTGATAGCAACGGAATAGGTGATTTATATCATATACAGGGGTTACAATTTTATTCAATAGTTTTCAACTCCCCACAAAGGATTTCCAAACACTTTCGTACAAAACAAAAGAAGAAGTCAGAAGAATCACGTCCTTGTAGGACAAAGTCTCAAGAAATAATAATGTTACACCATATTTTGAAGTCAGACAAAAGAGTCATAGCGCAGTATCCCATAATCCATAGATTACCTTTCTTAACGTCTATTCCAAATGACATGTTCAAGGGAGAAGACCCCAACTCATACCAAACTATATAGATACCTGTGCCACTCCTAGTGACGGCTTACTTCGCATCAGCGATTAGACACAGATAAAAACTGATACAAGCTTCTATGCATGAGACAGTCGTTGCCGTATGTAAGATTTACCTAAGCAAAAGGATTAGTACATTTATGTAACCTTTCGACATTCGGTTTACAAGGTTGTCATTAACTATGCGCAGAACACCTGTATTAACTTCCTTGTTAAATAATAATTTTATTCTACGTTTTTTGTAAGCAAATAAATATCATTTAGTTGGGAATCAGGATATCTGGTTTTATTGTTTCGTCATCTTAATGCGCTAGGTTTTGGTTTCAATGTATGGCTAAATACGAGAACCTTTTGAACTCTGATATTTTGGTGACCATTTGTTCCAACGTTCAGCTGGCCACATTGCAATGGATTGATTAAATATTTGAAGTTTTCTGAAACCTTACTACTTATGGACTAAAATCTTGTTAAGGGCCCTCGTCTATTAGTACAGTCACTTGCACTTTACCGAGACTGTGCTGAATAGATCAAAGCCCACTCATAAACCAGGAAACTAT